GTCATTAAAAGGCTGTTGAGTATTTTTTGCAGATAATCGTAAATGTCTGATTAAGAGTAAAGCAAGACCTTTATTGAAAATTTTAAAATTCTATTTTGTGGGTTACTTATCTTAAAGCACTCAAAAATAATCACTGTGACTTGAACTATTTTTAAGCAATTTCTATCAAAAAAGATATTTAAGCGGGAAGCAGTGCTGCTCAACTAAACAAGGATTTAAATTGACTTACCAAACTGCCCTCCTCACCAGGAGATCCGGGCACACCAACAGATCCTTGACGACCAGGCTCTCCGGGTTGTCCCGCCTGTCCATTCTCACCACGAGGTCCCTGTTGACCAATAGAGCCCTTTGCTCCAGCAGCTCCTGCCTCTCCTTTGGGACCTTGCTGACCAGGAATACCCGGAGGTCCGGTAGGGCCGACTGGACCTGGAGGTCCATTGGGTCCAGGCATGCCATTAACACCACCGATACCCTGGATGCAAAATAATCCACAGATGATACAAATGGCATTATACGACAGAAGAAACCCATTTGACTGCAAGGTGAAATTTGTAGCATCCACGTTAAATTATGTCACAGCCAGAACCAATATCAACATGTATTAACTTAAGTGTTTTGAGGGTAGAAGCAGTAAACCAGGTCAAAATAAATACATCCATGACATTAATTTGCTAAATTTGATGTTTACGACCTAGATTTTTTTATCAAGTAACCTATCTAATCTCATTGAAACTAAAAATGCACAAAAAGGGAATATTGTCTCCAGATGAAAGAATTTGATCTTCTTCAATAGCCTGGCTTGTATTGGTATCACTTTTGTCTAATAATCAAACTCACCATTTTCAAAAACATGGAAAATCCATCAATTTTTGTGCCAAATATAAGTTAGGCCTACTAAATTATGAGCTATAAATTCATCCTTGCTGCAAAGATCTATTGAGAGGTGAATTTCAAAACATGTACATAACAGTTGAAAGTTATCTTCATTTATCTCCAGTGACTCTTTTGTTTTTAGATACATTATATCTAGCCTTTCATAAATGAAAAAAAAAAATTTATGTTACAAACTTACCTGTGGGCCACTTGAACCATCCTCACCCCTTTCTCCGGGGGGGCCTCTGGCTCCTTGGGGTCCAACAGGACCGGGTGCACCAGGTGGACCGGCATCACCCTTAAGGATTGTAGAAAATAATAATTTAATTGTTAAAGAGATTCACATTTTTCTTCAAAAAATTGATTATTTAAATAAAGCTGGGCAGTTTGTTCCGTCTTGTGAAGACTTCTCAAATAAGATTTGCTTCATAAATGAAAGTAAAAAAACCTCAGATTCATCTCTGAGCATCAACTGTTCAATTTGAATATACTTTAGGAATACTTTAACCGTTGAACTTGTTTTTCCCCAATCAGTGTTGTTGCTTGTTTCTAATAAAAAAACTTACGGGTTCACCAGATTGGCCTTCTGCTCCTCTCTTGCCAGGGAAGCCGTTGAAGCCCCTGTGACCTTTTTGTCCAGGAATACCAGGAAGACCGGGGGCACCATCAGGCCCCTAAAACAAAAATAATTTAAAATCAAATTTCAATATTCACTAACTTTAAAATTTCTCATAAGCATACTTGACAGTGTAATTAAAAAGTAATAATATACTATTTTTTAATTTTTAAAAATTATTTTCTTTTTAAATCATCAAATAAAATTGCTTAAAGTGAAAATCTGAGCTAAATTGTCTAGATTGAGTTAAATTTTGACTCATTTAATATAGGCACAGCCTAGGCCTTTTAAAGTGTATTTGATGTTGTATATAAGTAGGTTGCGTTGAAATTTAAGATGGTACTAATTATTGCTTAACTAACTTACTCTAGGACCAGGGGCACCAGAAGAACCAGGCTGACCATTTCTGCCACTGTCACCCTACAGAAAGTGAAAACATAACAAAATCTTTACAACCGCACAATAACCTTTGATGTTCCAAGATATCAGAGGTAGAAAAATTTTGTTTTTTAAAAATTTCATTATCAATATAAAAAAAAACTCAATGCATATTTATCAGTTTTACTTTTTTTGACAGAATGAATTAAGATAAACTAGAAAATCAACCAGATAATTGCATCACAATTTTTAAAATATATCTTACCTCAGGTCCTGGAGGTCCAGGGGGCCCAGGGAGACCAGGTGTGCCGTTAGGTCCCTAAAAGATTAATAATTCATACATTCGCTCAAAACATCAAGAAAACAAATGGTACATCAAATTTGATTCCGATAATAAGTTTATCAACTCACTGTATATGACACTCTTTATTGAAGCTTATACAAAATACCTAAAAACATTTTCTGTGAAGAGAAAATGCCATCACAAAATATTTCTTATTTAATAATTAAGTAAAGAATTTAACAGCATTTAATTTCCTTCTTTCATTTTGAATATCAATCCATTAACATAAACTATCCAACTTGATTCAAATTTTTTTTACAGCCCTAAATGTCTGTATACTTACGGGTGGTCCAGGGTCACCAGGCTCACCTCTCAGGCCTACCTGACCTTGAGTACCAGGTGGACCAGGGGCTCCACTAGCACCACGTGGACCCATGGGGCCCTGAAATTCATAAGAACAACTTAAGGGACTATTTTCTTAAAAGGACAGTTTTTTTTTAAATTTTGTCAAAGATTATTTAGATTTTTATTGCAGAATTAGTTCATTATTTTTAATAAAAAGCTACACCTTTCATTATGTGCTTTATGGCATCAAATACACCATGTTTTTTTTAAATTTTCTACTTAGCATCAGGAAACAAATATCACATCAGGCAACACTTTTAAACGATGGTTAACGAGAAGCTTTCAAGCACATTTTAAAATTGCCCCACTTGTCTTAATAAAGATGCCTCACAGACTTACAACTTGAGCCTGGAGGTAGTTTGGTTGGTAAGCACTTCCACCGGCCTTGTTGTTGAACCTGTCAGGGTAGTAGGACCTGTAAGCTTCATCAGCACTCTGAGAAAAGAGAAATGTATAGGTGTGTAGGCTGCTGCTGCTTTCATTCACATTACACTTTATTTGTTCTCATGCCTGTAAAATTACTTATTTCTGATGCTCTTATATAGACAGATTTTTTTTAAAACTAGGAGATTAAGCTTTTTTAAATTTTAAAATGTAATTGCTTCTGGCTCATTATAACTTTTTTCAACATTTTCAACTTAAAAAAAATATCAAATGCTGTCAAAGGATCATCACACCTTCTGAAATATTTTTTGATGAAAATTTCATATTTCTAGTAAACTCCACTTACCATCTCTGGATTGCCAACAGCACCAGTAGGACCAGGGATTCCATTTACTCCATCAGCGCCAGAGTCTCCCTGAAAAGAGTCAATGAGTTCTATTGAAAAATGCAATATTTTTCTTAACAAATTATTTTCACAGATTACTAACAAATAACTTTCCAAAACAGTTAAGTTTCTATATTTGATTTGATGATAGAGAGACTGACAAGTAAATTTGAGACTTAATTGAACTCAAAATGCTTAAGTTTTACATTTTAATATTTTCCCTAAAAAAGTCTGTTAATAAATAAGCTTTTTTTTTTTTCTTAAAATGGCTTTTTAAAAAATAATTTAAATCCTGAAAAAAAATTATGTATTCATAAACAATATTTTTAAACTGTCCTTACCAATTCACCCTGCCTTCCTGGGTAACCTACTTGTCCCCTATCACCCGGCTGGCCCTGAAAGAAAGTTAATTATAAATGTTATTAAAGGACATCAATTTATAACTTATGAATTGAAATTATTGAAACTTAATTAATATTTTTCCTTTATAAGTTTACAAATTTATTAAATTCAGCTACAAGAAAAACTAAATTCTTACCCGTACGACATCCAAGACTTCTCTTAGGATCTGAAATAAAATAATAATTTTTTTAGAAAGGCAGTTGAGTTACTTTCAATTATGATTTTTCCAATCCTTAAATATCTCAAGAAGGATTTCATCTTGAAATTTATAAAACTCTGCCTTGGTTTTCAATTTATTTAAAAAGAGATAAAAATAACTTTTTTACTCCGATTTCATTTTTAAACAAATCAAATAACAGAGTATTTTCAAAGAGTTATAGTAAATAAGTAGCCTGTAAATACTATATCCTATATATAAAAATGAACATATATTAATTCAGATTTATTAACCACTTCATTACCGCAGGGTTTTTGCATAGATTTTTGCAGACACAGCAACAAAAAAACTTGAACGATGAAATTTTCTGTATATTTCATTCTCTCTCTGATTCGCTTTTTAACTTTTCTATAGATTAACGAATAAGGAAATATATAGCATTGAAATTTGACGTCGACGTGACGCCCTGCGGTATTTCAGAAAAGTTCTAAAATTTTTGTTATGACGTCGATGTGACGTCCTCGGTAATTGAAAGTGGGTGATCATTGACGTAGACGTCATCGGTAATGAAGTGGTTAAGTAATTAATTTACTGCATTTAATTCTAGCAACAAAAAACTTGAAGCTTTCACTTCAGCAAAAGAGTGTTGAAAGTTATAGAATACTAAGATAATATTTTCAGTATCTGGTTAGTTACCTCAGTGCGGGTTTCAGCAGAAGCTGTAGAAAGAATATGAAATTTTTACAATATTAAAAATAATTAAACATTTTTAATCAATCTGCATTTAATAACTTAGAATAGACTGGAATTTCCAGTGGCATTAAAAACTTTTACCATTTTTTAATGTAAAATGTGCATTACAACAATGAAAACACTTTTTTTTAAATCAACAACAGTTATTATTATGATAAGTTAATATTCTATATTTATTTTCTATTTTTAAATTAATTGATTGAATTTATTGCCTTTAGCCAAGGCAGGAGCTGCCACTTTGTAATTTTTGTGTTTCCTCTTATTGGTGTATAAAATTCTTCCCAACCTTGTCAATAAGTGCAGTAGTTTTGTAGTAGGGAGATTAACATTCTTTAATATTAAAATGTTCAATGTGTAGGCTACCCTAAATTAGTGTAAATCTTACAAACTTACCAAATTTATCACATTCAATAAACTGGCACTTCACGTCTCCATTTTTACATTGGCATTGTAAACAATTATTGTTCTCTAGTGGAAACCATGTATCTTCATTAAGATATTCAAGTCCTTTGTAAACACAACCTACAAAAGAGGAATGGACAAAGGATTGAAGGGTGACAAATGATGTAGCATGTGAAGTTATATTTACGGTAATTTTCATTTGATTAGCCCTGGTTCAGCAAAGTTAAGAATAAGTAGGCTTGTAGGCCTAATCTGCAGTTTCAGTAAATTGAGTTAACTCACTCAGCATTAATTCTAAATACTAATTAATTAATAGCATATTATCATTATCATCCTAAGAACGGGTCCGAAGCCTTCATTGGAGTGGCAATTTGATCGATGGAACAATAAGTTTAAGAACACCTGGTTTAGAGGATTTGATCCCATCGATTCTAAATTAATAGAATTTCCTAATATCAGAGAGCAGACCATTTAGAAAAATTTTGAAAGCCCGTGTTACAATTACTCTCTCTCACCATGTTTGACATGAAAAAATGCGAACTTTCCATCATGCATTTTTTTTTCTCGGCGTTTTATTTTTTAAATTATTTTTAAATTTACAAATTATCGTATTTTTTGTTTGTTCTTCTTGATATTGAAGCTACAATAATACGTTATAGTAATAGGTTTGATTGTTATTTGTGTTTAATTACCGTATCTAATGTACCCAGAATCACACATTAATTTCAACTTTATTTAACAAACCGTACTGGACGTAACTAGATGTCGGTATAGTTTTTCATGACTCCAAGTACTCGCCATAAAATTAGATATTTTGATTCTGTGGTGCTCACTACTTTTGGGCTCCTTTCATGGGCGCCCGCAGAAAACTTTCTAGGGGGGGGGGCAAAAAAAATCTATTAATTTTCCAGGGGGGGGGCAAAAACTTTTAGTAATGTTTTAATATAGTTTTAATTTACTGTAGCGTATTTGTATGGTGAACGAACGGACAGGACATCAGCTTAGTTACTTTCTCTTTATTTTCTCTTTACTTAAATAAATTTTTGTGTCTATTTTTGTCTAAAAAAAATTTATCCAATCAATCCAGGGGGGGGGGGGCAAGTGCCCCACCTTGCCCCTACCTGCGGGCGCCCATGGCTCCTTTGATGTCCAAAAAGTGGTGCAAGTTTGTGTAGCAATATTTTCATGCGACACACCTGCGCCCTGAAGGGGACACACATCTATGCCTTAAGGGGACACACAATGTGTGAAATATATAGAAATAAGATGTCATCTCAGACTTAATTCATTTGTTGTGATAAAAATAATAATTTAGAAACCTAGTGACGGCTAGCATTAAATAGTAACAATCAATCGAGTTCTATCGAATTGGCTGATTGCGGAATCAACTAAATTCTTATGACCATAATGCTATTAAGACGACCCTGTTGGGCGGACGTCTGACGGGTGTGAAAAAGGGTGGAGGGGGGGGGTCACACCATGACTTTACTGCACTGGTGTGACACCGACGCCACAATTAATCTAGAACACATAATTAACACATGTGTTTGGTTTTTAATTTGGAGTCAGTAGAAATATGTGCGAAGCATGTTATTGTTCAGCTACTTTGAATAGCAGCATATGTTTTATTAATTACTTCCTTTGTTTTTAAAAAAAAGATAGTTAATTTTTCCAAAAAAAATTCCAATAATCTTCAAATGCGGGGCGTACTCGCCATGGAGGGGTGAGGGGGGGTGGGGGGGGGTTGTGAGAGAATATATATATATATATATATATATATATATATATATATATATATATATATATATATATACAATGTGTGTTTGTGGGGACGGGGTTGATAACGCCCCTTTTAGAATTCCCATTTAAGTTTGACAGGAAAGCTTCGAATGGGTCTGCAAATAAGTTCTCAAAAGCAGTTTAGGGTAATGAAGGTGGAAAAAGTATGAGAATGAGAAGCAACCCCCTCCCCCCCCCCAACCCCTTTTTTTTTTCTCCAAACCTGGGATACACGACGTTTTCCTGCTCAGCTCAGCCCAATCAATTAGGGGTTATTCTTTTCGATGACTAGTTTATTTAAAGTTGAGTACAGATTTAGATTAGCCCGTTCAAAATTAATGAGACATTACGCCATGATCTGTACATCTTGTAAGGGGGGTGGGGGGGGGGGAACTCCACCACTGCCACTGGCTGGTTATCATCGAAATAAATAAAGTGGAGGGAAAAACAAGATGGCCTCCAGGCGCCACGTATGCCGCGAGAGAATTCGTGCGCCTGTAAAACATTTCATCTGCCAGCCTCGCCCCACATTTTTCTGTATCTGTTTTTTTTTTTTTTTTTTTTTTTTTTTTTTTTTTTTTTTCTTTCTTTCTTTCTTTTCCTTCCGAGTGTCTAGTTCTTCCAGCGATTGGCTAGACGCACAACTAGGTCGTCTTTGTGCAATGTTGATGGGTATAACTGATGATGTGGCAAGTTTGTGGAGAAATGAATTCCCAACGATATTTGGTTTCATCTTTTCTTTCTTTTTTTTTTCTTTTTTTTTCATTTGTATTTTAAAACCTGTGGTTTATTGGGGTTAAAGGTTGTGTTTTTCAAGCCACGACCTTAATTCACTTTGCTCAGCGTTTGTCTTACATATTCCCTGTCGCGGTGATTCTCAAGTTATGGGCCAGTCTCCTTCTTTTATTTCAAAACCAAATATTCATTTCTTGTGAACGGATATGGCCCCCAGCATTGAGCCTTTTCAACTTGAGGACCCCTGGAACGAGGAATGCTAAATGCTTGTTTGATATTTTAAAAAACCTCAAGAAGGATTTTCCCCATTTTCTTACCATTCTTTGGAGTTGGTGCATTTTTGAAGGAGAGAAGTTTTGCTGGTTTTGGGAGGATGAAAGGAAATAAGAGATTTGACTTGAATCTATGTGGGGAAATTGACGGTTGACTGGTGAGAAACAGTCAGAATATCCACTTATAACAGAAAAGGAATTAACTAACGGGGAAAAAAAAAGAAAAGAACAAATTATTTTATCGACTTAAAGTCTCTCATATCTTGTCCCAACACGGACACACTATAGAGGGATGGATTTGTTAAGTGGCAACGCCATCAAATTTAACATTGGCGGGTCCCTTTCAGGTCTTAAAAAAATGTGGCGGGTCCCAAATAAATGTATTGAAAATAAAAAATTTAAAAATATAAAGACATTTAAAATAGAAGTTCTCTTACATGTCATGTAGTTTACGCTTAATGAGCATATATACAATATTAGTAACTAATAAAAAATTTACCAGGTCATTTGCCAGGTCCCAAGTTTTTTTTACCAGGTCCTGGGACCTGGCGGGACCTGGTGTAGCGTCGCCACTGGATTTGTTGAGGGTTTGTTTGTTTTTTTTTCAGAGCGATGTAGCTTTTTTGTTCATAGTTGATAACAAGACTGTCCCGACTAGTGTGACCGATTTGTGTATCTAAGACTGTCCCGACTAGTGTGACCGATTTGTGTATCTCCACCGCTACTAGGAAATGACATCAACCGTGGTTCTCAAAATAGAAGAAGAGGACGTAAACACCGGTGTGTTATTCCTCACACTGGAATAAAGGTGATCAGACTCCCGCCGCCCTCCCCCCCCCAACCCCACCATTTTTCCGATGTTTACGGCAAGAGTCTCAAGCTTGAACGACCCCCCCCCCCCTTTTTTTTTTGTCTTCCAAATACAGAAATGAAATTTACTTTCACCAATTCGTTTCTACCCCAAGAACATTGCCGGGGTTAGTCGGCTAGTTACTGGTATTGCTGTGTGCGTCCTGAGTTAAGGCTTGAGGAAACTTTTCGCAACACTTGCAAAAGCATTCTTGATATTACATAATATAGAAAATACCTTAATGCCTTTTTACTTCTCATAATGCTATTTCAGTGAAATAAATAGTGCCCTCCCCCCCCCACAGTCTCCCCTCAGCCCCCCCGCGCCCCCCAAGGCACGCAAAGATAATCGGTGACCAGAAGGGGTGGGTAGCGAGAATGTTTGGCGCTCGGGGGACAAGATTCGCGCCCAGGAACAAGATTTATTTTAAAGCGCCCTCTTTTCTTTTTTTTTTTAAACTGTCAAGCCCATTATTTTCATCAATGAAATTATGTCAAAGTGCATTTTGGCTCCCCTGACCAGCTGGCGCCTGGGTACATCTGGCTCCCCCCCACCCCCACCTTAATGCCTTTTTCCTTTTCATAATACTATTTCAGTGAAATAAATATTGCCCTCCCCCCCCCACAGTCTCCCCTCAGCCCCCCCGCGCCCCCCCAGGCCCCCAAAGACAACCCGCGCCCAGAAGGGGTGGGTAGCGAGAATGTTTGGCGCTCGGGGGACAAGATTCGCGCCCAGGAACAAGATTTATTTTAAAGCGCCCTCTTTTCTTTTTTTTTTTTAAACTGTCAAGCCCATTATTTTCATCAATGAAATTATGTCAAAGTGCATTTTGGCTCCCCTGACCAGCTGGCGCCTGGGTACATCTGTCTCCCCCCCACCCCCACTCTTCGCTATGCCTCTGCCGGTGACAGTCATAAGTTACTAGCCTACAAGTCAAGTAGTTGGTTTAAGATTGTAATGGCTCACAGTCACTGCCGCATTTAACCTTTAACTTTTTACTCTTTTTTTTATTGGGGGGGGGGGGTGTCAATGCTCATAAACGTGGCTCCCCCCCCCCCCCCCGCATTTAACCTTTAACTTTTTCCTCTTTTTTTTATTGGGGGGGGGGGTGTCAATGCTCATAAACGTGGCTCCCCCCTCCCCACCCCCGTGTTTAACCGATGAAGCAATTACCCGGAAATGCCCACATGATTGCCCCGGATGTAACAATGTGTCACGGTCACCCGTAGGGTAAGACTGCAGTGACCTATTAAATGTATCCATGCAAGAGAAAACAATGATGCAGAGTGTGATGGATTGGCCAAACTATTGGATTACCTCAGTCGGCTGCAGCCATCGTCATCTCTTCCAGCTGTTCAACAGCCTAGCTCCACGGTGACGACCTAATGGCTCCGCGTGCACTTCTCATTTGGCTCCGCGGTCGCTCCAGGGAGCTCCTAAGCACTATTAACCAACCTTCTAGCTCCCCTCGTAGAAATTGATTAGGTAAAGCGCTCCGTCAGTAGTCAAAAAGGGTTGAGAACCACTGATCTAGCCTATGACCTATGACGTCACACACTGACCTGCGGTGTCATTTTACATTATGCACCATGTCATTTTGCTCCGTCTGCTAAAGGAGAAGTGGACGCTTATATTATATATTAATTATCTATCAGGTATCATATATCCCATTGATACCCTCGATACAAAGGCGTTGCCAGGGGGGTGCGGCCCGCCCGGGCTGCACGTTTTCTTTATATTTAGGGGTGACATTTTTGTGTGTGCCAAACTGCAGAGTTGTACGGGGGAAAAGACGGGCAGTTGGGGGGGCGGGGGGGGGCTTGGCCCGCCCCGAGCTGCAATACGCATAGCTACGTCTCTGCCTGGATAGGTATGTGCTTGGCTGCTAGAATACTAGATTGTAAATAAAGAGTGGCACCGAGTCCATCTGTGTTTATACCGCAGTCAGGCTCGGCAGGGGGGGGGGTGGTCTTGGAAGATATAAATCCAGGACTGTATATTAGAATTACACTACATTATTTTTTTTTTAAATTTAGATGAAACGAATAAATATATTAAAACACTGATTTCTGGTTGTGTAAGGAATGACGCAGTCTATAAAAAATTAAAAACAATGTGCCAGTGTGACACAGCCCGTGCACCCAGGTGCACTTTGGCAGAACAACATCACTGGTCAGTCTTTCGATGCCATCCGCCGTTAAAAGTTAAAAGACACTTGTACTATGACGGGATCCAGATAAAGGACAATGCCCCCCAAAATGGCTGACGTTGGCGCTTCGTCCCAAAACTTAGGTAGTCATCCATGTTTTTTGTTTCGTTCTGCTTTCTTTTTAGTATTGGTGTTCATTTAAATTTGTTTTGTTTGTTGTGTTTTTTTTGTTTTTTTTTTCAAACATAACAAGGCCGTAACAAGACAAAGTGTGGGGTGCGCGGAAGATAGAGACACATTGTATCAGTGTCGATAGCGGCAGAGCCACTAAAACGCATTCTTGCGATGATGGGAGATGAAATGAAAAGTCTCGTGTGAACTGGCAGCCAGCAGCTGTTCACTGACTGACTCCCTTTGCCAGCTCGGCGTATACTTACGCTGGCAATTTTTGTTGTCGTCTACCCCCTTTTAACCAGAGACTCCGGTTAAAGAGAAGAGAATGTTTATTTTGTGTACTTTACAGCAGGCTGGGCTAACAGGAAAGGTGTGTGGGGGGGGGGGTGCGGGGGAGTGGGGCTAATAGGTGCAGGGTGGTTGAGGGTAGATAAGGAAGTCGAGGTAACTAGGTTATTGCTGACGCTCTAAAGATGTTATACTTACGCTGGAAATTTGTGTTGTCGTCTACCCCCTTTTAACCTGAGACTCCGGTTAAAGAGAAGAGAATGCTTATTTTGTGTACTTTACAGCAGGCTGGGCTAACAGGAAAGGTGTGTGGGGGGGGGGTGCGGGGGAGAGGGTCTAATAGGTGCAGGGTGGATGTGGGTAGATAAGCAAGTCGAGGTAACTAGGTTATTGCTGACGCTCTAAAGATGTTTAATGATTTAAGAGTATACAAAATGTGCCAAGTAAGGTATTTTCTCATTACATGCCGTATACTAAATAATTCACTGTCGGGTAAAAATCTGAAACTGTATTTAATACTTGATTATCTTTCTTTTTTTTTCTCCAAGTTTAAAAAAAAATAAAATATCTAAACTTAGGAATGAGCTGAAAAACACGTTTAGCATTACTAGAGCTCTGAGCTTAAACACGAAACAGGGGCGTAGAATAGGAGGGGCGGCGGCGGGGAGAAGGGGGTTGGTTCACCCCGGGCGGCACTTTTTTTCCTTCATACGGAGGCGCGTCATTTTCGACCAACCGTTACGTTTTTTCGTCGAAGAGGGGCGGCAAAATTCTCCGCGTGCCCCGGGCGGTACTAACCCTTGCTACGCCGGTGACGCTAAATTAAGTTTTTCAAAATACTATTTTTGGTTTTAAATGACCAAAATGCAAGTTAAGAATATTTACATTCAATAACTTTAATGCTTATGTTATTGAAATGAGTTGGGTTTTTTTTAGAATTAGAGCTTAAATATTTTTGAATCAGATTTTATAAAGAGGGTTTGCAGGGATATTTGGATAATGATAATAATTCAGCTATCGCACCCAGGATCAGGAGACTCCGATTGTGTTGTATTCTTTCAATATAACACAGACAGTTTTTTTTTTTCATGAATAATTTATTACCGAGTAACTCAGGGTAAAGCGATTTGTTGCTAAGTATTGGTTCTTTTGTGCTTACTCATCTCTCTGAAGTGGCGTAGCTGGGGTTAGTTCTCCCCCCCCCCCAACTTTCCTACGCCACTAAGTCTCTATCTAACCATCGTGTTATTTTTTTTCCAAATAAGTATTGTTATAGCAAGTTGTATTGACATGTAAATACTGCATGTCGGCATCATGCATAGTTTAGTATAGGGATACTCTGACCCAATTTATAGAAAATTTCTTCAAACTTTTATTTTGAATTTTTATTTTTTTTAAAGATTAAATTTAAAAATATTCCTGCAAGTTGTCTCCCTTAATCATAATCTCATTCTTTTTAAAGTATTTGTTGAATCCATTTTGAAATCCATTTAAATATTTACACTTGAATGTGACAATTGACCTTCGATTCACTGTGTGCACACACAGCAATGCCATCAATGAAAGGTGGGCAACGTGAGAGAAAAAGATGGTCCACACCGTGTCACGTGACGATGATCTCAATCGGATCGTGGTTCACAGTCTTTGTGGGTCGCCATCAAACCTTACGGTAAACATTGATGGGGTCGCCATCAAACCTTACGGTAAAAATTGATGGGGTCGCCATAAAACCTTACGGTAAACATTGATGGGGTCGCCATCAAAGCTTACGGTAAACATTGATGGGGTCACCAATCAAAGCTCACGGTAAACATTGATGGCCTGATACAACCTCATGTTATGAACCACGGTCTACCCCTATCGTTGTGTTCCTCACTACCAAGGGGCTAAACTCTTTTTGTTATATCATAATGACGTGGAAAACATAAAACAATGACGTGGTTGGTTTATTGGTTGCTGGCACTGTGTACACAATACATTCTTGACACGAGTTAAGTCTCTGGGGAAGGCCAGGCACTCAATGCACTGGAGCCTCAGTCTCTGGGGAAGGCCAGGCACTCAGTGCACTGGAGCCTCCCCCCCCCCACTCAAAACACCCCCCAAATCCAGTTCTGAATCATCATCCTTCTAGTGAGATATCTGCAAAAGAATCTCTCAAGAGCATGGGGGGTGGGGGGGGGGGGGCTCTCCAAACAGTTTAATCCCCAGGACCCTCCCAGCGAAAAATCTCAGCCAAGCGATCTCTCAAGGGTCTTGTGGGGAGGTGGGGGTGGCTTGATTTGTATAGACCCACCGTGGGGGGGGGCGGCTTGATTTGTATAGACCCACCGTGTCAATGTTTTACGAATATGTTGGGGGCCACAAACCGTTTGGAAGGAAATTCGTTATCACCATCAACTTTGACATGATGGCGCGATGCACTAATTAAGATAAATCAGACATGTCATAGAATCATAACATGCGTACGTCGACTTACCGTACTTACTATTTAAATTATTAATGACCTTTCCCGCTGTTTCGTTGTTTTTATTTTTTTCGCTGGATCCATTCCTGTGCGTCAGACACATGATCAGACCAGCAAGACGTCAAGGCAAATAACCGAATCGACAACGAAACCAAAAAAAAAAAAAAAGTACACAAATTATAAATACGCCAAAAACACACAAGCACACAAAAAAATGATCAGACCAGCAAGACGTCAAGGCAAATAACCGAATCGACAACGAAACCAAAAAAAAAAAAAAAAATGTACACAAATTCTAAATACGACAATAACACACATGCACACAAAAAATGCTACACTCTAACTTATCCAACTTACTTTTTCCTTTTATATCTAGTGAGGGTGCGGCGTAAGTGGAGGCTGCGAACGCTAGCACAAGTAGCAGTCCGCACTCCGTCCATCTCGCCCGCTGGGCCATTTCGTTTCGAGTGGTCCCTCTGACGTCACTACATCAACTTTGGAGGTGGTCAGGTCCGCCGGCGGCGACGTCAACGCCTTTGGTGACGACGGCGGCAAAGAGAAAAAAAACACGTCAACCAACGACAGCAGCTACTACCCTAAACCGCAGACGGGTGCCTGCAGCCGGGTACTGTTTGCTTTAGGGAGTTGTCGGAACACGTTCTGAAAAAAGTTCAGCTCAGATTTAAATTTTTGAGGGTGGGACGGCGAGCTGTAGAGAAACTCTACTGCCGCCTTACAATTAAATCCTAAAAACACAGAGAACTTGTGCAGTCTCGAAGACTGCATGCAAGTATACCCCGGACCAGTGGAATCTTTAATATAATGGAGTCACGGCGCTGGCCAATCGGAGACGTCGTGACAAGTACAAGGGTAGACGGGGCGGAGTCTGCATCTGTAGGCGGGGCCAGCTGGATAATTTTTTTTAAAGTGGCATCGGATTCCAGACTTCTGTCTGCAAGTGTCTGGTAATTTGCTGAGTTGTTATGGTTACGGGATTGGGAGAGGTAGCCAAGGATGGGGAGAGAACTGGATCGGTATCTGGGAGAGACGGATGGGTTGGGGGGGGGGGTAAGAGTGGGGGGGGAGATGGTGGGGGGGGGGCATAACACCCCCAGTCA